AAAGAGTGCAAGATTAACTCCCGATACCAGTGCCAACGCCTTCAGATAGACCCCATCACAGCGGTCATGAAGGCGCTGGTAAACCTCCTGGCCCGGCATTACAGAGGAGAGTAACCTGCGCCTCTTCTATTGAAACCCGGACGGAATACAACAGAAGCTGCATGAACTCCGCACAGTCGCCCAACAACAAGACATTCAAGTCATCTTGCTGGGAGAGACGAAGTTGAACTCTAAGATGCACATAAAGCTGCCAAACTACCATGTATACAGAAGGGACGAGGTCACTTCTCAAGGGGCCGCCTATAGAGGGACGGCGGTTCTAGTGAGGAGGGACATCGTCCATCAAGAGCTGGAACTACCTGTATACCATACAATGCGCTCTATCGGTATAAAAATGGAGGCGGCGTACGAGGAACTAAGGATCTACGCCGCATACCGCCCGCCAGGGACTCCATTCTGCTCCTCAAACGTCCGGACGGTAATGGAAGGCGAAACACCTACCATCATCGCCGGGGACCTAAACGCCAAACACCCGGCGTGGGGATCCAGAGTGATCAACCCGCCGGGTCATGAACTTTATGAAGATGCGGAGAGATACAACTACGACGTTTTAGGTCCCGAAGAACCTACACACGTTCCGACAGATCCACAGAAACAGTGGCGAAGCTTCCATTAAAGCCGAAAAGCCGGGCTTGTCTTATTAAACCTGAATCAATCAATAATATCAGCTAATAAAATAACTCGTAAAATGTTTCAAGCTATTTCAAATTTCCCGCGCACTCCACTGTTTGACACATGTCGACCGATGACCTCGTATTGCCTTAGCGATACTGCTGCTGTCATAAAAAATGAGTTTTATGACAGCAGCAATGAGGACTGGTGTCGCAAATGTACAAGTTGTGCGGCTGTAAAGGGACCTCAGACTCGTAGTAGAGGTGCGTTGAAGTTGAACATCGCAGCGGGAAATCTCATGGCAACGCAGATGCATTGTCAAGAACACCTTGTCCTGAAGATTGCAGACATTGTACTAGGCAAGAGAGTAAGGAAGCGGTATCCGTGAGGATGCTTAGGGCAGACCACCTCAGCAACGAGTGGAAGGACAGCTTACAACGTGCACAGCGGGAATATTCGGACATCAAGCCGATTCTGGAATGGATGAAGGCCAGTGCTCCCAAGCCCAAGTGGAGCGACGTCTCAGCGATGAGTTCGACCACTAAAAGCTATTGGGCCCAGTGGGACAGCTTGCTGCTTCAGGATGGAGTTCTGTTCCGTAAATGGGAAAATGTTTGGGGAGACAGCTGTCATTTGCAAATGGTTGTCCCTAAAGCTAAAGTACCGGATGTTCTACAGCTGTACCATAATGATTGTTCAGGGGCCATCTGGGAGTTAAAAGAACTCTACTGAAGATCTGAGAACGGTTTTACTGGGTCCAATGTCGAAACGACGTCGAGGACTGGTGTCGCAAATGTACAAGTTGTATGGCTGTAAAGGTAGAGGTGCGTTGAAGTTGTACAATGTTGGTGCACCATGGGAGAGAATAGCCATTGACGTGGCGGGGCTGTGTCCAGAGAGTGAAAGCGGTAACAAGTATTTCATGGTTGTGATGGATTACCTCACTAAGTGGCCAGAAGTCTTCGCCACTCCAAATCAAGAAGCTCGTAACAATACTATGATAGCTTTAAGCAACCCCCAAATATAGCATTTATTTATATAAATTAAGTTATATGATTCTGAGCCTTTATTAAAAAAACATCAAATTGATATCCCAGCTTCTATTGTATATCTTTACATTTGTGACATTTTCAAATTTTATTAACTATGTGTATTAAAAAACTTATAAAATTTGCCATAAAACAAAAAATATTGACTTATTGCAAATTTCAATTATACAATATTATTGTAAAATAATTTTAACCTGTCCCTATACTACTTCACATCTTATTATGAACAGTGTGACCAAAGAGATTTAAATATGTATATATACTATAGAGCGGACATTGAGAACATTTTCATACAAAAACTGTGAGCTTGAGCATGTGTTACGCCCTCTAGCAAAACATAGCAATACTACGCTGGATATTTATATGGAAAATATTTTAGCTATTGCCCATTAGGTAATGCTACTAAATATAAGGTAAAAATCCATTTTAGGCATGTCGTCAATAAATAACATATTGGTAAATTAATAGGGATGTTACTGGATAACAGGGAGCACTTATTACAATAATAATACATTTTCAAGGACAATCTTCTAGAAATCATAAAATATGAAGATTATTTTGGTAAATATACATTATTCTAATGATATTAAACCGAAATCACCTTCATTTTTTGCTCCGTATTGTGACTACCTTAATGCACAAATGGGTATATTTTCTTTAAAATTATTTTTTAAATTTATGAAACGAATGCATCTTGACCTTTTGACGATTTCACTAAGACTAAATGACAAAAATTGGAGATATATCCTATAAGACAAAAGTTAAAGATGACCTAAATGTCTTTGAGTGTGACGCACATATGAAGAGGCATGAATAGGCTTTGGTCCCGAATATCACAGTAGAAAATTCCACAAAAGACTTTTATAAAGTTGGTGAGCCTAGTAACGGGGCAATTGGTCTGACTTACTTCTCCAGTGTATGTTGGCAGACTTCACACGGCCCAAAATTTTTTTTATTACTCAGACATGCAGGTTTCCTCTGAATGCTTATTAAACTGCTGAGGATGAGCTAAAATTTTAACTAAATATTATACAACTTGTTGACACCTTACTGTGTAAACTTCAAAATTAAAAATATTATTTTACTGCACACTACTACACTAATTATGAGTAGATTGTGCTCACTGTTGGCTAATGTTCGAAAGATATACTATTTCATTAATGTGTACAAAGTCTCAATGTAAACTCATAGATTTCAAAAAAATTAAGAGCAAGATTATGATCTAATAAATGTAGCTCATTTGACATGTTGCATTTTGTTTGAGCAAGTTGTGTTGAGGTTTTATAAAATTTAAATCTTATTTTTATAAGCTGAAAATATTACAATCTGTTATTGCTACTATGTTACAGCCAAAACTGTTTAAAAAACTAATTTCTAACAGAAACTGGCAAAAAAAGTCAAAAGTATTTTGACTAAAGAAGTTTATGCAAAAGTAATTTGACTTAAAAGAGATTTTCATTGAAATATATTGGTTAAAAGTAATTATGACCAAGAATAGTAGGTAAAATTACTTTTGACCATGAATAGTTGATAAACATCAAAAAACAAAGTAGTTTTTCTCAGTTTAACCAGTTTTTCACAAGCTACCTTAATTAAATCTAACATAACATGATCCTGTTAGGAAAAGTAATACCAGCAACAGTAGGTTATGGTGATCCAAGCGCAACCCCAGTCACATCTCCACTAAGAACAACTAGATTAGGTAATTTTTCCTAATATCGGGTTTGACACATGATAAAGTGCTTTTGACTGCAGATTTGCTCACAACTAGTTTTTGAGGGAATTCCAACAAAACATGCATTTTAGAGGATGGGCAGAAAGGTGGTCTTTCCCTCTCCCCCACCTATTTAAAAAGAAAACATTGCACTAAAATGCTTCAAATTGCCACTCAAACAGGAAATTTAAAAATTAATAAAAAAATAAGTATTTTCAAAGGGGATGGCAGCAGAGGAGTTTGCCTCCATCCTCCCCCTCCCCTTGTCAATATTAAAGTGTTTAATCTAATGTACTTCCTCGCTGTTTGTTAAAACGGGTTGAAAAATTATCTAAGTCTTATTTTATTAGTGTTTCAGGTAAGATTTACAATTCGGTCGCCTGAATTGTGGGGGGTGGTGTGGAGAGGAGGAAGAGTTGTAGAGCCACCCCCTACATCCCCTTCCTGCCGGACGTGCTTAGTTTTTTTTTTTATAAATTTTTAAAAATCTCATTTTGAGGTTATGTTTCGTAATTTTTATGACAATTTTAACCTGATTTGGGGAGAGAGAGTTGGGCGACGGAAGCACCACGCCACTTAACGTGGTGCAGTAGAGGGAAGCCCAGCTCCTACTTCTGAGTGGTTTACAAAAAAATAACCACGAAGGGGATGACGGGATCTATTCGCTCGCTTCGCTCGCTCACTCGACCCTCATCTCCTTCTAACCTAACCTGTCCGAGTCGGAGCGCCCCACGTCCTAGGCTCGCTTCGCTCGCTATTGCACCCAATATAACACCAAAATATTAACTTTTATAACTACTTTAATTTATAAACATAATTTATGGCTGCCACTATTTGTAAGAAAGGATCTTTGCGACATTTAGCAGTATTCCGCCGCCACAAATATTCCACTATTCACCAAAATTATGAAACTCTGAAGCAACGGTATGACGAAAAGCTGTCAACAAAATGGCCAGCCTAGCTATTAATTTTACACATTTTTAAATTGATTCAAACCAAAATTGGATGAATCGATTCACAAAAAATCGATTTCACAAAAATCGATCTTTTTTTGATTTGCGTTAAAAGTTTATATTTACAATATCAAAAGATACAACAAAGTACAGATAACATTGAATGGTTGAATTAAAAACTGTCATTCTTTAAGAGTTGGGGTACATTCAACTAATTTTAAATAATTTTACAAATCTTATTAAAACAGAAAAAGATTCGATCTTGATTCTCTAGGGTGAAATATCGATTCACTAGATCGTTTCAGTACTATATATCGATATGACATTGACAGATGAAACGTCAAAAACATAATTAATTAGTCATTTACCAATATTTTTAAAAAATATTAAAAAATAATTCGACGCTGCTCCGGCAACAAAAATCAAGTGGGGGTGCTTCAGATAAACACCCTTGACCCCCCCACAGTGACAGAATCTTCAAATTCAGGCGACCGAATTGTAAACCCAACCCAGTGTTTCTTACTATTTCTATCTATGTTTGAAAATGTTGCTTGAATTTGTTATAAGAGAGTATTTCTTCAAACCTTAATGTTATTAATCTATATACAATACCTTCTTCGACAGCCAACACAAGGAATGCTTTGATTTAATACATTGAATATATCTGACGCGTCAACCCTCAGTGCAGCTTTTAGTTCTTCTGTCGATAAAATTCTATATTTTCGCATGAATTCTTCGTATTCACGTCCCTTAACTTGTGGATTGTCACATATCAAGCCCATTGTGTTTAAATCCATTATCATCTGAAAAATAATAATAAAAAGTCTAGGCAACAGTGATTTATGAGATAAATTAAGGTCAATCATGAAACAACATTAATCATGGAATATTAGATTTAACAAACACTCTATTAGAAACCTAAGCCACTCGCTGCTAACTAAAATAACAGAAGCATCTATCTTTTGTAAGCATATTAAAAATTCCGTATGCACATGACCAAATTTTTAATATCGAAAATTAATCTACGTTTGTGGTAATGTCAAAACGTAAATTAAACCACTTACAGTGAGATTTTCATATATAGTTAACGGCAACTGCCTTCTTTTGATTACAGGATCTTTTTCGCTATTGTATATATCGACTAATTTAGCCATTTTTATGATTATTCATATAAAATAGCCGACAAAATACACAAATACTTAATAATGACGGCTGATGTGATGACGGTGACGGCCAGCTTTTCTTTACTTTTAATAAGATTTTTGGCTTGGATGCTTGTTTTTTAAGCCACGTCTCCATTTCTTTCGAGATATTCGTTTTTATAGATTTTCTATTGTGGATTTAATGTATTTGTAAATAGGCAAAAATCTTCATATTCTTCAAACGGCACAATCAAGCGACAGGGGTCATTATTTGCAATGAGTTCACTTTCACTGTTACTATTACACACTTCACTATGGGGATCGCAAAAGCGCCTCTGTATCCTCGTATGAAAGTCTCTGCAGCCACTGCTTCAGTTCCTGTTTACACTTTCTTGCAGTAGTTTTATGGATATTTAGTTCTTTATTAATCCTATTGTAAACATGACTATTTCTGACATAGTATTTTCTGCGAGCTAAAGCGGTTCTGTGGAGGAGGTGTTCACATACCCGGTAATCCAGTCTTCGACTTACTTTTTGTGCGCGGTGCTCCAGTGGGAGCGAGCGATGTCTACGAAGTACCATTTGAAGTATGTAGAGTTGCCTGGCTGTGAGCACCTCACAGTCTTTATATAGTTGGGTAGTAGGGTAACGGTAATGCTTTTTAGTCATGACCTTTAACACAGCTCTCTGTGCACGCTTCTATTTTATAAAACGAGTGGGGCACGTTCCACCCCAGAAAGGGATGCAATAACTCAGAATAGACAGGGCCAGCGCAAAATAAACCAGTTTCAAGGTTTTTGGGTCCGCCGCATTCCTTAATTTTTTAAAAACTGGAATAATTTTTTGAACCCGGGATGCTATGTTATCTATTTGAGGTGTCCAGGTAAGGGTACTATCGAGTATAATTCCCGGATATTTTATGTTATCCGTCTGTTCTATTGCCATGCATCCACAGTTTGTATTTGTCGAGTCACAGTGGTGAATTTTGATGTAGGAGGGATCAGATTTAGGTTGTATTGACTTTGATGCAGAAAAGGTAATATACTTGGTCTTGTCAATATTTAAGGTCAGCAGATTGTCACAGAGCCAGTTTGATACAACACGCAGGGCCTCTTCCATTCTGCATCGAGCAATCTCCCAGGTTTTGTCATGTGCCAAGAGAACAGTGTCATATGCGTACGTGATGATGCGGCAATTCGGAATAGTCAAGCGACAGAGACTGTTTATGTATACCAGAAACAGTGTCGGTCCTAGCACACTGCCTTGAGGGACTCCATAGGAAAGATATTTATCATCACTAAGAAAAGAATCTATTTTGACACATTGTCTGCGTTCTGAGAGATAATCTCGAAAGATGTCCAAAGCCAAACCTCTTATGCCAATTTCATTCAGTTTTTGAAGTAGGATGGGGATAGAAACAGTGTCAAAGGCCTTTGACAGGTCAAGGAAGGTTCCTATTATTTTGAATTTATTGTCTATGTTTTTAGCTACTAAGTTGACTAGATCCATAACAGCGTCTTCTGTGGATAAGCCACTTCTAAAGCCGTATTGATTTTTTGATATGATTTTGTTTTTAATTTTAATTAATACTTTGTTACTGATTTATTAAAACTTGGAAGTCGTAGCGATAAGTGTTACCAGCTTGTTTCACTCATTTCCGATATGAAGTTATATTTATTTTATAATCTAAAAAAAATCGTATTGTTGTTCAACGTTGTTCCAAATATAAAGTAAAAGTTACAGCCTATATACGTCCCACTGCTGGGCACAAGCCTCCTCTTTTTTTTTTGCGCCCGAAGCAAATATGGGCAACCCTCCGGAAAGCGGGGGAGGGAGGCGGTGAATGCTCATAGCATACCACGCAGCCGGCTGCGTGGTTATGTGGAGACTTTTACCCACTAAACACCGCCTTTTAGGGACTGGCTTAACGGTCTAACTGGAGATCTCTAAGCTACGAACGCGACCCTCCTTGGCAGAAAGGAGGGCGCAAGCGGCGAAAAGACGCTTAAACGACTGCCTAACTAAGGCAGATTAAGGGTTGTGTTATATAGGTTTGGCCTGAGCCGCCAGGAAGCAGTTCAGGTCAGCCGAAAGCTTGTTGGGGGGGGTCCGAGAGAGAGTTCCTCGGTCTGCGCACACTATAGCGAGTGTGGATAGGGGCTGCATAGGCAGCTGTCTCACGAATGAGATGAGGGGGACTCCGAGGCTTAGAAAAATCTCTCAGAGAGTGAGCCTCTTCTCATTTCTGAGAGATTTTAAGGGCAAGGAGATGACCGTCGCGCTGCCCTAAAGCGTGTCGGCGAACTTCACATGTCTTCTAAATAAACACGTTGACCGCCAAACCCAAAAACTATGTTTTTTCAATTTTTGAACCTGTCTTTTTTTTGTCTTAATTTTCATTGTTATACTAATCTTATAGTAAAATCATGTTAAATTATTTTGGTTTTCCATGATATTCCATGATTTTTCATGTGCGCCAAAAAGAAACACGGGGCCTCTGATAAAGTTTTTACATAAAAATTTCTTTAGAGGCCGTGTGTATACTTTTGGAAACACGCAAACCAGCGATGGAATTGTCGTTATGAAGTGTTATTATATATAATTATAAGAGGATTTCAGTGCTGAATGTTTTTCAATTTAAAAGTTTTTTTTTCAAAAAGTTTTTTTGAAACATTCAAAACTGAAAACCGTTGCCAAAAAACACAGGAAAAACTAGCATTGACTTGAGTGATCAGACGGCGTCGTACAACTCAGCGTTGAGGCGTTGTACAAAATAGTACCGATAATTAATTTTTGAAGTATTGTAGGGTATCAGCATCGTGAACGCTCACTTTTTGTACTCTGAGAATACTCGCAGAAAGGCTCTCAAAAACACAGAATTTAGGGAGGCAGTTATCGGAGTAATAGCCTCACAAATATTCACGAGAAGTATATCCCATACTTCTCCTTTCCCCTGTTGCCGTGCTCTGGCTTAGGGATAATATAATTTTATCTCTTGTCAGTGGATATAATCGGGGGATAAAATTTTTGTCACCAGCCCATATATATGCTGTTATATTTTTGGCCTTAGTTCACGATCCAATTAGAATATTGAACTAATAACCTAAATTGTAGGGAAAGTTTAATGGATTGTGATCATTGAGCTATTCAAACATATAAGATTTTAAGCTTCAGGTTGCTACTTGGGTACTACTTGGCAGCGTTCTATCTTTATCTTTAGGTGGATCTGAGGGTGAGGGATTACTAGTACTTCTTATACTTAGAGTAACACGAGGCACCGGAGGTTCGGAAGATTTTCGAAATAGGCAGGCGTTCCACTTTTTCCTTTTTTTAATCTTAAAACTTTCGATAATAACGGTCGTGTTGTTTCGGATTTGTTTACCAACACAGGCCGCTCGCCCTCATACAATATGCAGATCGGCCGAGCGACTCATCCGAGTCTGTATTTATTATTTTATTATTGTTTTGTTTTACTGAAATTATTATTTTGTTGTTGGTTGCGCGGAAAACCATTCGTATTTATTTTATTTGACGGTAGGCTTGCCAAATCGTTTATCCCTTTCCAAACGATAACATTCCTACCCTCCTATCGACACATCGGGGTGGTGGGGTGGGAGGGGAGAGAAGATGATTTTAGAATATCACGCGATCATCGCAACCGAAGGAATAAAAGGGCACGCGCGGCCGACGCGCACTCTCTTCCCGCCGAGCTCGTCGTTGGAACCACACCGCTTAAGACAATAGTGTCATAGAAGGGCTACTGCCCACGCGCACCGCTAGTATATCCGCTTTAGCCTGGAAGCAGTCGAGCTCCAGGAAACCCGCCTCACCTCGTGTGAGAAATAGTCGCGCACCGCACTTTCTCCCGACGCAATACCGGACAAGAAAACATCTCTGAGGCCCCAGAGTGTCTTCCAAAAGTCGCAGCGCAGCAACATAACATATTGCCCAAGCCGCATAGAAGCAACACCCCGGTGAGTGAACATTCCTACTAGTTCCTGCTTGATATAATTGTGTTTTAATGGTTAATCCGCTCCAATTTTCATTTTCTTCTAATCAAGCAGGATTCCTTTCATAGATTTGGCAAATAATAGTTCGTTTAGGGAAGAGCGAGTGCATTGTATGGGAAACCGCGTGCTATAGTCGCCATTTTATGTAAACGTAGAAGCATTTCGCATATACAGTCCATTTTGGGTTTAATATCTCGCGTAATAGGTTTAAGGCTCGACCGGGGAAGTGGACTTCGGTAACCTTAGGCTCGTCGCTCCACCATTTTATGGTCACTTCGGCAGGATTTGGACTGGTGTTTAGTAGTCGTTCAACCGTTTTCTGGTCGAATTAATAGATTAATTACTTAGACAATGCACTCTAATTTATGGAATAGACTTAAATAGTGTTCGTTTAGTTTAAAATTAAACTTTGGTTAGTTACTTGCATATAGAATTAATTATTCATTTTTATAGTGTTCGTTTAGTTTAAAATTAAACTTCGGTTAGTTACTTGCAAATATAATTAATTATTCATTTTAATAGTATTCGTTTAGTTTAAATTTAAACTTTGGTTAGTTACTCGCAAACAGAATTATTCATTTAAATAGTGTTTGTATTTCGTTTAAATTTAAATTTATTAGTCGCTTAAGTAATTGAAACAGTGTAATCACACGCGTTTTGTACGCTTACCCGACAATTTTGATAAAACTATATTGAGTTTAGCGAGCGACACGCGTCACCTCGGCTCGTTGTACAGGTGTTCAATTTAACGACGTAATACGGCACGCGTGTCCATCTCCAGCCTTGTGCGATTAATTGTGATTAATATAATATTAATTACAATAATTTAAAATGGCAGTTAGTGGAAATGAAATTAAAATTAAAACGCTTTATGCCAAGAGGGACATACTTTTTTCACGTATACAAAGTATTAGTGATCACATAAAGAACATTAATGTAGAAGCAGTGCGGGAAACTTTTTTGAATGAAATTGAAACGGTGGATTCTTTGCGGACGGATTAC